GTGGGTGGGGGGTGAAGGGTGAAGTATATATAGAACTTTCAGCATCATGTCTCATGTTGCTAAAATATTTACTTTCCAATCAGCAACATATCTCATGTTGGTAAAAGTTATTGAAATTTGAAATATAATAACCCATCACCGACATATACATATTGCTAAACTTCAAATTGCCATCTTCCGCCAGCCAGCCCATTTCTTGATTCATACACTTCAAAAAAAAATTTTAATTCAATTTTTTAATAAGTTATTTTTATTCTATTAAATATTAAATACTTATCATTTTATATATTAGTTAATATAATTACATTAGTATATTTTTATTTATGTATACATATATTTAAGTTTACATAAATATATCATATAAAAATATAAAATATTATAATTGATTGTGTCTGTTCCTAGAGTTGACTCTTGTGATGAAGAGTCGACTATTCCATGCCTCCAAGACTTCTCCACTCTTTCAAATTTGAGAGTCACGAATCTTGCCCTTCTAGAATTCATTCAGTGTGCTCCTTAGATTTGGATTTCTACGCTAAAAACATTCAAACATGAAATCCAATTGAAATCCAAATCTAGAAAAACAGAAATAGACATTCAAACATTCAAACTCAATAGAAAAACAGAAATTCAACCTCTTCCACGAAACAATCTGATTTTCACCAGCATCACGAAGAATATTTAGATTAAAAGCAAGAGTTTTACACTTCCAATCCATGGATTCAACAACGATAACAATGAATCATGAAATCAAACAAGACATATCCCATGGCAATTATTATAAAAACAAAACTGGGTTCCTCGCGGGGAACCCAGCAACTGGGTACCTTGAGGAACCCAGCAACTAGGCTCCCTGCGGAACCTAGATCTGGGTTCCTCGCGGGGAACCCAGCAACTGGGTACCTCGAGGAACCCAGCAACTGGGCTCCCTGTGGAACCTAGATTTGGGTTCCTCGCGAGGAACCCAGCAACTGGGTACCTCGAGGAACCTAAAACTGGGTACCTCGAGGAACCCAAAACTGGGTTCCCCGCAGAACCCAGATATGGGTTCTGCAGGGAACCCAAGATGAAGAGGGATGATGGAGGGATGATGAAGAGGAAGGCGGGTGATGAAGAGGAAGCCGAGGATGATGAGGAGGAGGAGGATGAGGAGCTCAAATGGAGATGAAGAATTAAAGTTAATTTCATTTAATTTCATGAAATAAAAAATAAAATTTTTAATTTATACATGTAATATTAAATATTCAGATAAAATATTTATAAAAATTTAAAATTTTAATCAATTAATTTTTATATCTTTTATAATATTATTTATATAAAAAATAATCAACTAATT